TAGATAGATAGATAGATAGATAGATAGATAGATAGATAGATAGATAGATAGACAGATAGATATTGTGTTAATGATGGGATATAAAAAATTGTATTGAACATCTTTATTTTAAAACTAATGCAGTCAATGTTTAAAAAAATTCACACGTTATTAAACGTTAAAATTTAATTTGTTCACACTTTTATTTCGCTAGATTTCATTCCATAAGTTTGGCTTCTGAAACTTGTTCATCTTTTGTTTAGCTTTATAAGGAAACATTCATTGTAGGGCCTTGTTACACACATTTTTGTAAATTGTTCATAATACATTCTTAAGTAAATTGTCGCATTCAGTTTAATAATTTGCATGCAAGTAGATTTATGCACGATTTACACAGAAAATGCCTTGTTTCATGAATTAAGCCTGATGTTTTGACATTGACTGTTAGCTTAGGTTACAGTTGGAAAACACATTTCATGTACTATTAAATCTACTAGTAAATATTCTGGACATTTAATACATGAAAAACGTGAGTTTTCATGCCTCTAATAACATATGGGACGGTTTTAAACATCATATTATATATTTTCAAAAGAATAATTCCCTTTGGTGGGTCTTTTTAAAGCACAGTATGATTTGTCTCAGGCCCCAGAACAATCCGACGTAAGTCAATAGCAGCCTAATAAAAAAAAAACATTTAGCAATCAGCCTAGAATTGAAATGGCAAAAGTACAACACCTGGTCTGCATTTCACACAATGAGATTTATGATGGGGATGTCTTGGAGAAAAAAAAAATGGCTAGACAAAATAATGGAAACCTGTTTTGTAATAAATTATGAACTAGTTTTGAGTCTAGCAAAATAAGCCAAACAAACTGTCGTACAAGCTGCATGTACATTCTTTCCAAACAAAACAGCAATCCTAATATGAAATGATAAAGAACAAAGCAAACTTTAAGAGAAGGAATGTATTGTGACTTCTTAAACTACGAAAACTGAACTTGTTTTATTAAATTCAACTCATTCGTCTTCGTGGTGTTCGAAAAAATCATGGCAACAGATGGTAACCATGGTGATGAAGGTCATGAACTCCTGAAAATCACACTCCGAGTCACCATCGGTGTCCAAGCTTTCCATCAAACTGTCCATTGTTGCTTGATCTTTCACATGCTGCGCGAGATAAAAAGAAAAACGTAAGAAAAAGTAAAATAGCTAATTCGCTTCGCATTAAAAATATTTATTTGTAAATGTTTGACACAAAAACTCAATTCTGACATAAAGCCTTGACTGTAAATCAACCATTCTTTAAGTTTCAAGACAAAGTGTAGTGTAAAAAAAAAAAAAGTTTGTAGTTTTTAATTTCCTTGGTAATTAAAATGGATAAAAATTGATAATTCACGTCAAAATATTTAATCAAATTTTTGACACAAAAACTTAGTTCTGACACAAAGCTTTGATTGTAAATCAAACATTCTTTAAATTTCAAGACAAATTGTAGAGAAAAAAAAAGTTTGAAGTTCAATTAATTCGGAAAGAGTTGGAAAAGAAAAAGCTTTAATATGAAAATAGCTAACTCGCTTAGCATTAAAAATATTTAATCAAATTTTTGACACAAAAACTCAATTCTGACATAACGCCTTGATTGAAAATCAAACATTCTTTAAATGTCAAGGCAAAGTGTAGAGTAAAAAAAAAGTTTGAAGTTCAATTAATTCGGAAAGAGTTGGAAAATAAAAAGCTTAAATATGAAAAGAGCAAATTCGCTCACCATTAAAAATATTTTTAACCAACTTTTTGACCCAAAAACTCAATTCTGACACAAAGCCTTAATTGAAAATCAACATTCTTTAAATTTCAATCCAAAGTGTATTTTAATTAAAGTTTAATTAAAGTTTGAAGATTAATTACCTCGGTAAGAGTCGGAAATTCATTTGTGAGCAACTCCTTGAGTTCGGTCTTTTTTAATTTGTACTTGTCGCCTTCTTTGGACGAGTATTTGTGGAAGACCTCAATGATGGTTCCCAGGCAGTTCTCTAAGTCTGACATCTTAATGTAGTGCAGCGTTCGACGTTTTCTGGAATAATTACAATAAGCACTAAAAATGTGAAAATGTTTGAAAGCAATTTCAAGCTGTTTAACTTTTCCCTCAAATGACTGTAAAAGTTTAAGTGTTGAAGCAATTTTATGGACCATTAACTTACTTTCTGTCTTTTGCAAACACATTTCTAGTCATTATGTAGTTAGTTTTGCAATTTCATCTGCAGTTCGGAACGCTTGGAGCAAAATAAGCTGTAAAACATTGCAATGATAAAAACTTACTAGACTTACCAGCAGAGAGTTTGTCAGAATGAGGCGATTCAGAGCAGAGTGAGATGGGAGTCCATTTATAGGTCTGAAACGGAGGGGCCTGTAGCTTGGAAATTCTGACCTGTCAATCACCAGAACTGTCCAATGAGCTTCTGACCTTGTTCTCACTCCACTACACACATTCAGAGTGAGATACAAAGAGATGAAGATGAACACACACACACACACACACACACACTCACTCAACCACTCACACACACACACACACACACAGGTTTGTTTTTATGGTTTATGGGGACTCTCCATAGGCGTAATGGTTTTTATACTGTACAAACCGTATTTTCTATTGTCCTACACCAACCCTACCCCTAAACCTACCCCTCACAGGAAACTTTCTGCATTTTTAGATTTTCAAAAAAACTCATTCTGAATTATTTATAAGCCTTTTGAATTACGGGGACACTAAAAATGTCCTCATAAATCACCTTCTCGTTGTAATACCTGTCATACCCATGTTATTATACACATTTGTGTCCTCATAAACCACATAAACACACACACACACACACACACACACACATACACACACATACACATACACACACACACACACACACAGAATAACATTTGTGTGGCCAAATTTGATAAATAAGCTGTAAAAATACTATTAGACAAAATAATGCCTTTGCCAACTTTCAAAGCATAGTACTTTGTTTACATGTAAAATTTGTAGCAAAATTAAACTGGGTTAGGTTTTTTGTTTGTTTGTTTTTGTTAAATCTGGTAAATTTTTGTTGTCACTGGGTTTACAAAACTTGATACCTAGTATGTTTATTGTTTGTACCTGCCTTTTTTATTTTTCTTTGTAACTGCATTGTCCTGTCAGTCTTTTTCCAAGGAATCAAAGACAGTCTCCTGTTTCTATACATTGGTCATCTCATCCTCTTGTTGTAGGCCATAAGGATATATGTTCACCACTTTTTTCCATTCTGTTTTCCTTTTGATCTTTCTTGGAAGTTCTGTTGCCCATAAGCGCACACAAGTGTTTTGTTGTCAGGCATCTCGGAGGACGACAATAGTGTGTTTGAGAGGAAGTGAGTGGTGTGGCATGTTAATCAGCCAATCCTTTTCTGTTATAGAATTGGCCAGACGTGTGTCCTAAACACCACTGGACTATTAAACAGCTTAGACAAACACACACACACACACACACACACACACAATGCATTAACGCATTTAACCTAATAATAGTTTTCAAAAGTATATTTTTTTCCGAATTTTTGTTTGTTGTTACAGATGTTTGTTACCATAAGCACGGTTTTGTCTGTTTGAATAATAATAATAATAATAATTTGCCATTTAAATGTATTATTCTTATTCTTATTCTAATTTAACAACAACTGTAACTGCATTTTAAATGTATTATTATTATTATTATTATTAATAAAATATTATTAAGTTAATATGTTATTATATATTGTATGAAAGAAAAAAAATATTTTAAATAATAATTTTAAATAATACATTTAAATGGCAAATTATTAAACGGTGAAATCTGAAGTCATGAAGTCATACTCTATATAAAAATGAAGAGGTGCATGGGAATGCAGGCACGGGGCACTACGATCCTTCCCTCTCCCATCCTACTCCTCCCTGGCGTTTATCCAGCGGGCTGGACGCTTGGCGATTGTCGGACGGGCTTTTATCCACCATAATAAATGTGTCTTTGTGGCCTCATATATGCAGCACAAGCACACTGTTGTTGACAGCAAACACTGCATCTTGTGTGGGCCTCGCTGTCCTGACGGCCTTTCTCAGGGGTCAGATGGATATAACACCCTGTCAACAAATCAATAATCCATCTCTCTGCCTCTCCATACTCATGTGTTGAATTGTTCATCACATTGCGATCTGGGAGCGGAGTTCGTTCGCAATGGACTGACTCAGATGACTGTTCAATCATGGGCGCTGTTGTTTTGCTGTGACGAATCAGTGATCTTGATCAGATCCAGTGGGTCAACTTTCATTGTTTTTTTGGGGCACCGAATGTCCCCAAACAGTTTAAATGTAATTTTAATTTAATTTAATAATTTACTTTTTAAAATAATATTAAATTAAAAAACGTTAAAATAATGAATAAATGAAATAGCCGAAATTAAATCAATTAATAAAATAAATAATAAAAACAATAATTTAATAAAATGAGACCCTTTAACAATTAAACTTAATATTAAACAAAATAAAATGAAAATAAATAATAAACAAAATAAATTACTAGAATAACTGAGAAACAAAAAAAATTAAATATGAAATAAAATCTAATTAATTAATTTAAGGCCCTTTAGTTGTTCAACTTAATATTAAGTTTAAATAACTAATTCATAAAAAAACTCCAGTTAACACATTATATCAAAATACATAAAAAAACAAAACAAGTTAATAACATAATTAATAATAATAATAATATAATAATTAATAATACAAATGAATAAAAATAGCATGATGCCCTTTAACAGGTAAACATAAGAAAGCAAATCAATCAATCAACCGATGTCTGTCTCCACCATAAAATCAAATGTGTGTGTGCTTGTTTCAGTCTGGCTGTGAATAATCTCCTCTGTACAAAACGGCTGAATAAATGATCTTTTGTTGGCCGCTGGATTGAGGAACCTGTTCTCTCCCTGCTGTTGTGTCAGCCATATGATTGGCTGCCCAGTGCACTCTGGGATACTGGTGGTGGCCTGACAGAGGACTCATTCTGAGCTCCAGCCACGCTCAGGATCACATGCTCTCATTGACTACTGTTTTCTTACTACGGATCTATCACGTTCACAGTTTCACTAAACTGAGTGTTTGTATATTTAGAAGATGTAAACACAAGAGTGAAAAAGTCACTGCTGATACTTCATTTAATATTTTAGTTAAACTTAATTTAGTTAGTCTTTAAATGTTCAGAAATGTGTATTTCGCTTTTGTATTTTTCAAGATGTTTTTATTTTATTTTTATTTTTTAATTGAACACGATTAGTAAGAGGACTTTGGACCAATGGGATTTCATAGTGGGTGGAGCTACTTACATGACTTTCAAAAATATACTGAAAATATTAAAAGGTTTTTTTCATATTTTAGTGCAAATTTATAGTAAATTTTAATATTAAATATTAATATTTAGTTTTGTGTTCATTTGAAGACCCCTGTTTTTGCTATTCTTCTTCTTTCTTCTTCTTCTTCTTATTATTAGTGGTGCATAGTAGTAGTAGTAGTAGTATTGTCTTACTGTGTATATACTGTATATATACTGTATATATATATATATATATATATATATATATATATATATAGGTTCTTCTATGGCATCGCTTGAAGAACCTTTTGAAGCAACTTTATTTTTAAGAGTTGTCAGGGAGTCTCTGTCACCAGTCACCAGCTCTGGACTCCATGCCCCAGAATCCTCCCCGGCTTACACCTGTTTTCAGTCACGATCACCACACACACCAGATCACACTCACCTGTATTCTGATCACCTGCACCTGCCGTCTCCAATCAAGCCACTTTCAAGAACACGCTCCTCACAGTCACTCATCGTCTGGGCTACCATTCACTACTCTGAACCTTACCAGACTTTCTTTATGCTAGTTACCTGGTTATCCTTACCTCTAGTTCCCTGAAGATCTCCATCTGTGGTTCTCTTCTGCTCCTGGATCCCGAACCCTCCGTGCACCTACAAAGGAACTATACATCAGGACCAGTGTTGGGCTAGTTACTCAAACCATGTAATATGTTACTCATTTCAAAAATAATATTGCTACTTTTTACTTTCTGGCAACAGTAATTAGTTGCACTACTAGTTTGTCTACACCTACCATTGATGGTAACTTGTTTTTTGTGGCCTTAAATGTCCACTTGTGAACTGAAATCGCAAAAAAAAGGTCCACAAAATTAATTAAAAAAACTGATTTTCAAAGGTCATGTAAGTAGCTACACTATATTTTCCTGTCTGTAAAATCATGTTGCTTAATGTGCATTTTGAACCACTTCTAGCAAGAAATAGGCTAGTGACATTTTTCCGAGACCATTTCAGGATCTGTATATTTAGTGAACCAATATTTGTGCAGAAACATTCAAATATATTCCGAAATTGTAATTCTTGCCACCTCAGCTGGTAAATAATGCTTTTCTGCTGAGTTTAGTCTGCTTTTCAGAGGGAAACGGTCAGGAGTTGTTCACAAGGATTTAATAACGACCGAATATTTCATCGCTTGACCTTCTGAACGTTAAGGAACGAGATGTGTGTTCTGTTTGCGGGTGGCTGATGGGAGAGAAAATTTAGTATGTTTGGCCACATTCACTCGCGTCCGTTTATAGTGTGCGAGGCGCTGAAAGAAAGTCTTTGGAGTGTTTTTCAGGTGAACTTTTCTCTCCATACAAATCACCCAGCGAGACTCACTGGCCTTCCTGCCGCTTTGGCTGTTGTCACGGCGACGAGCCGTTGCCGCGCTGCAGTGGCGGGGGTTCGTTCCCAGCTCTCGCTGTGCCGGAAAGGTTCGCCAGAACGCTGAGTCATCGCCTTATAATGCGCCACGGTAACGGACGAGGGCAGCTCTCCAGGTGCTAAAGTGTCCCGGTTCACTTCAGCTCTGATAAAAAAAAAGCATGCGTTTGAATCTGAAAATATCCAAACTTGACATTTGCTACAGTCGAGTGGTAGTTCAAAACGTTTCTTTTTTTTTTAATGACCACATGGGGGCATCGCTATTATGCTGTTCTATATTCTACACAAAACGCATCCAGTCTCTTTGAAAACAATTGTGAGTTGGTTAAAACACATTAAGCGCCTTATAATGCTTTGTTGGTTCATTTACGGATTGTTTGGATGTAATTGTTGTTTACGCTATTTTCTTGTCATCTGCAATGTTTATGCTTAACCACTAGGTGGCAGGCTTGTGTTTTTATGCAGTTTTGATCTGTTCTGCAGGGTTATTAAAAAGGAAGCCTCCCTGTCTGTCTGGACACGTAGCTTTCTAATCTGTCCCGTGATTCCTACCTGCAGTTTTCGTCTGGTCTGTTTCCACAGATAAACCGTCCAGTCGACAGAAGCTATAAACCACTTATCGCGGTAAAACAAGCTGCCGTGTGGCAGTCATGTCTATTATGGTTTAGAAGTCACGTGACTCCCCTAATGAGGGACAACGTGTCGGATATTGATGGTAATATTTTTCTCAGTGGATATAAGTAGTATAAATAGCCTCTAAACGTAATATAAAATAATATTATATTGTATATAAAATATTGTTATGGTGTAATATACAGTGTTGGGGAAAGTTACTTTTAAAAGTAATGCATTACAATATTGCGTTACTCCATGAAAAAGTAACTAATTACGTTACTTTTTATGGAAAGTAATGCGTTAGTTTTAAATCTGGACAGGGCTTGTTTGTTTCTAAAATAAAAAGTTATATTTTTGCCAAATATAAAAGCCTTTTCACTCCAAAAGTGAAATGAATACGCCTCAGGCTGAAGGGAAAGTAAATTTACGTCCGTACTGTAGAATGCTGAAGAAGAAATTTCAACACACTTCAGCAATAAAAAAAAGACACAAATGTTTGTCAAGAGTAATTTGTGCTTATTAGTACGGTTGAACTGAATCATCGAAGGTCAGAAGCAAAGACATTGGTTAATAGAATGGGATTAAATACATAAAGGATATCTGTGTTGTTTAACATTTAATTATTGCAGGTTTGCATCATATTCTGAGTTGCATTAGTTGTATTCATTTTGAGGAATACTGAGTGGGGTTTTTTTGTGAGTGAGATAATGCATATTCATATTTATTTTAGAACTACAGTAACATCTTCTGATTTCTCTCAACGTGGGGACAGGAGAGCTGTCAATCAATAAATTGGGGGGGGAAAAAAGTTATTTTAGTTTAAGTTTACTTATTTGAAAAAGTAACTCAGATATTCTCTTGTAAATTAAAAAGTAATGCTTTACTTTACTAGTTACTTGAAAAAAGTAATCTGATTACGTAACTCGCATTACTTGTAATGCGTTACCCCCAACACTGGTAATATATAATTGTTATTATTATTCGTATTTAAAAAAAATAGTATTACAATGATTAATTACTAATATTTAACAATATTAATCAATTACTGTAATATTTTCAGCAACATTTTTCTCAGTGGATGTTTTAAATATACATAATATTTTGAATATTACAATGTTATATTGATTTGATATTATAATAGTTTTTTTTTATTGTAGGCCTACTATTTATTCTATTTAATATTGGGTCCCACTTTATATTAAGTGGCCCTAATATCTGTGTACTTACATAGTAACTAGATGTCTATAGTATGTAACCACAATGTAAGTACACATTGGTACATAGTATCTAGAGCTGTAATATTTCTGTAACTACACACATGTAACAACCCTCCGAATTGTTTGTGAAAGTGTAACAGGACATATATAACTACATTTTGTAACAACAATATGTATAAGGGTAATTGGAACAATTTGATCCAGGGGTGGAGATGGGTAGGTTTAGGGGTGTAAATGGGATCCAGGGGGTGGAGATGGGTAGGTTTAGGGATATGTAAAGTGGGAGGAGTTGGATGTGGAGTTGGTGCACCACTGTAATACCAGTGTACTTACATGGTAACTCCTCAGTAACTGCCCACTTAATATAAAGTGTAACATTCACAATTTATATGTAAAGCCTAACTTACTGGCTGCTGCTGTGTAACATCAGAGTAATTACATGGTAAATCCATAGGAATTGTTTACTTAATATAAAGTGTAACACTTTCTTTACCAAAAAGTGTTGTTACCAATGTCCTGTTACACATTTGTACTTACACATACGGAGGGTTTTTACATGTGTGTAGTTACACAAACATTAGAGCTGTAGATACTGTGTACTTACACTGTGGTTACATACTATGTACACATCTAGTTACTATGTACGTACACAGGTATTAGGGCCACTTAATATAAAGTGGGACCCAATATTGTCATATGTTATTATTTATGCATATATGTCAATAACAATGTGATCATCTCAACAGTGTTACACATTTTTACCATGTTTCAAATAAAAAAAACAATTGTAAACTTACTGTGATGAGACTAGTAACAGCGTTTTTACTAGCTGCAAAAGCAAGTAACTAGCTAAAAGTACTAGTAACTTAAAAGATACAGTAGCAGCAATAACTTAACTACATTTTTCAGAAGCATGACAGTAGCTACACACATAAACAAACAAAAAAGTATATTAAATTTGCGCTGCGCTTGGTATATTGCGTTGGTCGATATGTAAATGAGATGTGTCTGTGTTCTTTAATTTGCACGTTGTCAGTAAATCACCGGCAGAAGTTTCCACGCCCATCGCCGCTGTTTTGGAATTGCGCTTTCACGCTAATTTACCGTTTAGTAAATCTGGCCCTAAATGTAGCTAGCTATGTTTGATTTGTAGTTTTTATAGTTAACAGCTTTTATTTTTTTTTGGTTGATTAACTTTTAGCTTAATGAGCTACAGTTTCAAAGTAGCTTCCCCAACATTAGTTGATGTTAGCCAGTTAGCAATACTTGGTTAAATGTCATTTAGCTGACCATGCTGGTGTCTACAACAGGCTATATTTCACAAACCGGTGCGGTGGCATGCTGTTATAAAAATTAAATGAAAAATAGGAAATCACTTGCTAGGTTCACCGTAATGTTCCGTACGGGGCAGCCGGGTCGATTGGCAGCACAATGGCTGGATCGATATCTGGCCCTGTTGTGCCGCTAAGTGAAGAGAGGTTTGATGTATAGCATAGAATTGGTTTGGCTAGGAATCAGGGCTCATATATTTGTAAAAGGCCTTTATTTGAGTCTGTCATCTGCTGCGGTAATTAGAAACGGAAGTAAGACTTAGCTCTCAACTTCCCTGAGATCAACAGTTGAAGCTCAACAAACATAGACGTGCGCACATGATCAGCTAGAATTAATGCTGCGCTCATGTAACAGTTTCACAAAACTACAAAATTGAAATGTTTTACCAAGACTTCATTACCACTGCTGACATGTTTGCTGATGCCAACTAGAATGAAGATCAAGCTGTGTAATATTTGGACATTTACCCCCCTAGACATCGTCTCATTATCGTCCCGTAGTAAACAAGCTTTGCAAACTGGCAAAAACAACATTGGTGCGGAAATTAAATTGGATTAAGTGGATTATGCGGCCCTTGTGATGAATTGGCTGCCTGTTGCAGTTTGGCATGAAAACCGTTTGGCTTTTCCTCACCTTACCATGTCAAGCCACACGAAGATGCACACAAACACAAACACACGTTTAAGAGAAATAATAATAACCTTCTCAGGTTGAAGATCATCATTTTTTGAAAAGTAAGCATGTCTTTATAACTATTTGTTAAAACAAGTATAAAGTAATATAAAATAATAATAATATATATAACATGTATAATATAATTGGTGATACTATTGTTATTTGAAAAACAATTAATATAAAGTTTATTATTATTGCTAATAAAATAAAAAAATAAAATAATAGTTATTACAATTATAATACAATAATAATTGTTTTATTAATATTTTTTTATGTTAATATAAAATATTTAATAATAATCACTATTAACAAAATACATTAATATAAAATGTATTATATAATATTTTTAATTTTGTAATATTGGTACAAGATTAAAAATAATAAAATATTAATATAATAAGTATGATTATTAATTTTAATGCTAGGTTTTTTTTATCTAATA